GGCCATGAGTGTAGTTGAGTAAGATTTGTCTATATCAGTACTTTAAATCACGCACAACTGTTGAGTACCTCGTCCAACGCTGGTTTGCTGTAAGTTTAATTTACGTCTAATTGTTGAGTCTGCAGGAGCTTTTTAAAACATTTATCTACGCAGAGTTTGCAGCCCTGTACCTCATCACTTCAATATACATGGCATTGTTTGTAGAGCAGATTCTGGGTTATATTAGCTGTTTCTAATAGATGGTGCAGTATTGCTGTCAGGCTGAAGGCGGACACCAGGGACTCAGTGACAATGATGCTCTGTGCAAACATGCGGCTTTGGTTTCTATCCTGCACTGTGAAGGCATACCTTAAAGTTAGCCGTGATACTTTCTATCAGTTTGCTTCTAATCTCTGTGCTGTTATTTTTACACCATCCGAGGGTGATTAGAAGTCAGCCTGCAGCCCTCGCTGTCGGTTCTCCTTATGTGGCTGCGGATCAAACCGCAGCTCTCTGTGGGTGTATTCTGATGATCCCAGTGTTGGGAGTTAGTCATTCATACCAGACTTTTCAATTCATTTCATTTCATTTTTGTTTTTCTGTTCCAGCTCAGCCTGGACGTTTGTTTTCATGTATTTCTCATCCTGAATCTTAACCTGAAGTTTTAACGATTGCAGCAGTTGTTGCTGTGAAATGTGCTGCCATCGTGCTGAGAGCTAAACTTTGGAGGAAATGCTGAAATATATGCAGAGATTACGCCAGTGGTTAGATCAGGGGATTGCTGCAGTCTTTTCATAATCATCTGCAGCCTCCTCTAAAAGCTATTTTACTTGAGAGTTTTATATTTTTCTTTATTTTCCTCTGTGCCTCATTTCTTTAAGTTCAGCTTTTTCATTCCTGCATGTCCTGATCCAGCATTTCAAGCATGGAAGATGGAGAAACTGTTTGCCTAAATGTAGCCAGACCGCTTTGCTTTTAAAAGATATCTGGAGACGATACCCTCTGTTTGACTGACTTAAGAAAAATCAATACTGTATCTGACATCAAAGCAGACAGGCTGCATTAATAAAACATGGATCTGTGTCGGAATGACCTTGGACCTTTTGGGATTTCTTTTAATAGTGGGGACTGTAATGGGGACCAGGAGTCCCATTAACCCCCTAAATAGGATTATTTATTTTGTTTTACGTAGTATTTAAGTTTGAACAAATAGTTGGGTATTTTGAGCTCTTTATTATATTTTTCTTTGGACATTTTTTCATGCATTATTGTGAAGCAGAAGGAATTATTTTTCCTTAGATTTTGTTTCTGTTAGGTTAAAGTACCTACTTTTCCTGGTTTGGCTCCTCAGCAGGGCGTGGCGGAAAAAGGTAGAAGTGCTCCAGGTGCTGCAATGCACTTGGAGCAAACTAGGGTACCCAGACGTCCTCTTTGTCCCGCACGTCCTACTTTTCAGACCTAAAAAAATGTCCGGGGGTAATTTCAAAATCGTCCAAGCCGTGATCTCTGGGGCTGGGGACGGAGCGACCGAACCCGACCCAGAGACGGTAGCCTGGACACTGGCGGCCCAGGTGGGGGGAAGCAAGGGGCCTTTGCTCTGGTCACCCTAGAGCAAACCAAAATGATCAGGAGCGATTTGTTTCACTGTATTGATTTGTATGTATGTAAATATTATTTTGGGTGTATAGTTTATTTTTTTGGTGTAGGTTTGTTTGGTTATTAATTTTGCTTCTTTTTCTAGGCTGCTCAGTGGAGCAGTTGGTAGCACTGCTGCCTTGCAGCAAGAAGGTTCCAGGTTCAATTCCCAGTCCTGGGTCTTTCTGCATAGAGTTTGCATGTTCTCCTTGAGCATGTGTGGGTTCTCTCCGGGTACTCCGGCTTCCTCCCACAGTCCAAAAACATGACTGTTAGGTTAATTTGCTTCTCTAAATTGTCCTCAGGTGTGAGTGTGTGAATGGTTGTTTGTCTCTGTGTTGCCCTGGCGACCTGTCCAGGTTGTACCCCGCCTCTCGCCTGGAGATAGTCACCGGATTCCCTCGCGACCCTGCTTGGGATAAGCATGATGAAAAATGGATGGACGGGCTTCTTTTTCTTAATAGTCCCTTTGATGGTTGCTTGAGTTGGGTATAACATGCTGTTTGTTCTTTTTAGTATAAGAAGGTGTTGGTGTGAACAAGATGGAGTTCAATTAAGTCACCAAAAGGTCAGTTTTGTTTTGCCCCTCAATGAAATATTGGGTCTGCGCTTTGCTGGTTTATCACCTGGAATTGCAAAAATATTACAGTTTGTTTTAATCCCAAGAGTAGCAGGTAGTCTGGGCCCCCAGGGGCCACAGCAGCCCCAGACATACAGGTACCAGCCGTCCCACATAGAAGGAATATACCTGACACAGAGCTAGGTCAGAAGCAAACCCCGCCTCCACACAGGTCAATGCTACAATCTGTGAATATTTGCTGGAGGAAGATAATTCCGTATCCAGTACATCTACCACTTTGCATGAGAACCGTACTGATCTGTCTGAGAAGGGCGTAGAAACACAGACATCAGACAGAAGGCAGGTTTCTCCTCTGATCCGGTAGAATACACTGAATGGAGCTTGGTAACCAGCATACAGCGGATGTGGGTCAGAACAAGACAGCCGATCCCAGAGAAAACTGAAGAGGAAGAAAAATCCTGCAATAAATCCTGATGTTTCATCATGAAGAGGCTGAAGACCGGGCAGCTGAATAAAGGCACCGCAGAGGAGGAGCGAAATGAGGTGAAGCAGGAGAAGGAAGGCTGGCTGACCGATTGACCGAGCAGGAAACATAGACTGAAGGACTTCATTTTTTTTTAAAGTTAATTCAGATTAAAAAAGTTCTAATATATTTATGGAAAGGTTAAAGAAAAAAGTGCGGTTTTATTTTAACAAATATTAAATTATTACATACTGTTGAATAAATGATAAATGTTTTTAGTTAAGAGTAATTTTCATGTGAATGTGCTTTACTGGAGGCATCCATGTTTGTCAAAGAACACTACTGCCACCTACTGGTTAGTGACGTCACGGTGCGGTATCGGCTGTTGATCAAGTCCCAGTGCTGTATCTGGTGTTTGTCACAACGCGCTATTATCCAAGTCATCTTGAAAACATTCTTCTTCCAAATGTTGGATACATATTACGGGTTTTTTCTCTGGCCAGAAGTTCGATGGCAAATCCTCCCTCTTCAAGTTGGCGATCCAACGACCAACCCGTCCGTGGAGGATCAGGAATCAGAAAGGTGGAATAACTCTTTATTTCACTTTTACCCGATGTATTCCAGCATCCAGCTGCCATGCACGTGGGCATTGTCAGTTTCACTATAGCTCTGGTGAATTTCAATGGTGAAGTCCTCTGGAAATCTTCAATAATTGTTGTTGGTTGCAGATGTGTCTAGTAGTTCCCATTGATTTTTCTTTTTTTTTTTCTTTTTTTTTTTATAGTGTCCTGTCTGGAAATGTGCCAATAACAATAATTGTCTCAATGCCAAAAAGAGCCCAACAGATTTTGCTTTCACAAGTGAAGCAGTACGGCTATCGCCACTGTGTTCCGCTTGATTTAGGCATATAAATTGCTTTATAATAATTCATGCAGGGAGTATTACAGATTATCTGGACACTGCAATTTAAATAGAACAGGAAAGGGAAAAAAGAGGAGAAAAGATGAAAGAAAGAGAAGATAAAAGGGAGATAATGATAAAACATCTTCAGTCTGCTTCATTACCTGCAAAGAGATGTAAAAGAACATCACAACCAACGGATATAGTATAAGAGATACAATACAGTAACACCTTGATACTATCACTGAAGTACAAGTAGTATTATTTAATCTGACATGTATACTGTGGTAGCTGAAGATAGGAATATAGGCTTTCTGTATGGAAATGAATCTCTGAGTACCTGGAACCAAGCACCTGTAGTTGTTTGTGAGAGTGCACTTGTGCATGTAAACTTTATCCAAAGGGAAAATGCTCCATAGTGGTTGTGAAGAGCCGAAGACGTGCCCCTCCAGAGCACCGAGACGAGTGGGAACCAAAGCCCCAAAGGCATCCTAAGAGCAAAGGTGCCCAGGAGGGGCCAACCCATGAAATCCGACCCCCCACAAAGGGAGGAAGATAGACAGCCCTGAGGAAAACTCTCAGCCACCGGAGCCCCCAGGAGCCGCGGGCCACCGGTTGATTTTGCTCGTATAGCGGGGATAATGGCGCTAGGCTTACCACACTGTGAGGTCACAAAAAATCTAACAAAATTGGTATCAATCATTATTTTAGCTTCTAGGTCGAGAAGTTTTTACTTTTTTTTTGTAACTTTACAACAGAAACCAGCAGAAATGTAGCTGAAGTCTGCTTTTAAGCGACATCACAAAGCAGATGGAGGGCAGGAAGAACAGTGGAACTGTGTGAAAAAAAGTCTGCTTTGTTCTCTTTGTGTCTGCTCTAATCATTGCAAAAGAGGACAGCTTATTATGGAGTACCAACAGTGTCTTATCTTTATGGTTAAAAAGGTAAAAACCTCACAGAATGATGCTGAAAATAATGGATTTGAAATCCGCATGAGACCAGGAGGAGTGGAGTCTGTTACCGTCTGACAGGACCTGATAGTTAGTAGTTAGTATTTATGGATTTGATTTTTCTGCTGAAAAATTTAGACATTCCAATGAAAATGGATCACATCTAACACATTTACTTTTTAAGATCCTTGAAATTGGATCTAGATCCTAATAATACTGACCCTCGGCAACAATCAACCTTTTACTTCTTGTCATTTAATTCATTCCATCCATCGATGCATCCATCCTTCTATTCCGTCTTTTACTCTCTTGTACTTTGTGGTACAGATACTACTACTACTAATAATAATAATACTGCATGAATATTTTTTTTCTGGCACCTTGTATCATTTAGTAATACTTTCTGGTATTGTGAAGCTCTTTGTTTTAATATGCGGTGTGTATTACTATGTGCTACTATGCATTCCCTAGCTGATACTCTGCAGGTACTTACTGGTGGTGTTGTAGTGGATGCCATTGAATTTTTCCGGACAGGGTCTGGAGATCAGCTCTCCTGCTGCACTACGGGGCCAACAGGTCCCAATGCCGTCCACAGAGAGGTTACAGTACACACCTGCAGACAGGGAATACTATCAGGGTATCCATCTCCCCTCATGACTTCAGAAATACCTATATACTGAAATACTGCTGATAATTCAGGGTAAGATTGAACCAAAGTAATACATGATTAGGTTCCTTTCAGCTTGTCACTAATTGTTAATGGTTCTGTAGCATTTCTTTATGAAAATGCCGATATAAGGAATGAATAAAATAAAAGTTATAATCATAGGAACATCTGAAGTCTACGTTCAGCTCTCGGAGAATGTTGAAGATGTGCTCAAAGAGACGCCACACAGAATTCAGGCGCAAAAAATGGTGTAATATATGAAAAGGAAAATATTTACAACGTTTACAGTTGTTCACAAAAAGTACAAACAAGCCAGTTCAATTTTTCTAAATGAACAAATACAGAATTGGTAATTAAACTGTGGTCTGCAATTTCCACTTCATATAGTCCCACAAAACTGTATTATTGTCCAAAGAGGTTGATTGTGAACCAGGGATTGAATGATATTTAAAGGTAATGGCTGCATGTGGGTTGAGGAAAACGAGCTGCAGTGCCTCCTACCACACTGATGGGAGTTGCAGTCGCTTCTTTCCAGGCTGAGGCACGAGGCCTGTCTCTAGCTCGCCACCCAATATATAGGAACAAGGAAACCTGGCCAGTTCCGGTTTTAGAGAGTCTCACAAGGCTCAAAGATACATCAACCCTCAGTGGTGCTACATACAACAGTGAGCGGCCATACTTATTGAAATCTCACCGAAGTCTCGTGGGAAAAATCTTGCGGCAAATCTCGCCAGATTGCAGACTTAGTGCCTGATGGAGTAAGTTTAGAAATGGGAAATCAAGGATAAGCCTTTAAACAGCTTTGTTACACCTCACTGACTATTCTTAGTGGTTTTAGTGACATTTGATGAATTTCAACTGGTGTTACTTTAGTTTAATAAAGAACATTTCAAATTTCATACACTTCAGTACCTCTGGTTTAATGAGTATAACAACAGTCCTCTAATGCTTCACATCCAAGCCACTAGAGGGCAGTAAGCAAGTAAGCAGATGAAATTTCACAATTAAATTTCTTTGTTTTAGTGGTTTAAAAAAACAAAACTTTACAGACCTGATGAGTTACTGATGGTGAACGTCTGGTTCAGCAACACCAACATCCTGGCTGAGAGACACAAAGGAAGCAACAATCATCCGTTAGCTTTAAGTCTCAACATTAAATATGAAACTACAGACAAATCAATCTGGATCAGGGGAAACGTTAATCACACTGAAGCCTAAATGTAAGCGTGTCAACATGAAATACTGGCCGTAAGGTAGAAGGTAGGAAGGAAGCAGGAAGCAGAAAGCTTCCTATAAGCTAAATTAGCAGAGTCTTCCTGACCACAGACTGTTCTTCAATTTTGTTTGTTGTTGTCAAAATATGTCATAATCAGTTTTTACTAATCCCTTTATTATTTTACTGATAAAAATGTAACTCTCTAAAGTGTCTTACATTATTTAATATAATCAATATTAAGTTGCAGATCCTGAAAAGAGAATAAAAACTCTGACTATGGTCCGAGAAACAACATTAACATATACATGTTAAAATTAAACGATTTCAATGAAACAAAAAACAAGCAGATTATCTCCTTTGGACTGAATGTGCCTCACATCTTTCTTCTTCTCTGTGTGGAGCTGAATTGCACACCTGCCTGTTTGTAATCAAACGCAACAAAACAGGCTTTCATCAGAGGCAACCAGACTTTCACTCAGGTTTCCAAAAAAAGGTTTAGATGTCTTGACACCTAAACACATCTAGTGCGAGCCAATGGAATTGATAAAGACTCCTGGATAGTTGTTATAACCTCTTCGATAAAGCCTGAGTGAATGTCCGGTTGCCATGAACTGGATGACTGGGAATCTGCAGAGGCTCAAGCTCTCAAGTTGGATTCCAGCAGAGCTTATTGTCATCAGGTTTTGGACTTTTGCCTTGGACAGACTTCTCATCACTGTTTCTATGTTCTGAAGTCATTACCAATGTGAGGGTTTTCCTGATCCAGCAAGGATTCCCTTAATTGGAAGAATAGCTGGCTAATTATCGCACTATACGCCACCAGGTGATCAGGGTGTGAATAGCTGTCTGTTAAAATGACAGATGGCTTTCAATAGCAGAAAATATTCAGGTAAATTGACCCTATCTCTCATAGGAGCACATAGGAGCTAAATAGTTTCCCACAATCCTTTGCATAACAGAACGTAAAGCACAGCCCAACTCGTGGATTTAAAGTACATTATTTCTCCGCATGTATTCTGTGTGACATGCTAATCTGAACGCCTTCACATCTTTTGCTTTTTATAATGAACATTATCCATTCCGCACATCTGTGCACTTTTTTGTAGCTCTTTTCTGGAAGGCGGCAGTTCCAGTTTTGACTCAGATCATGTACGTCTCGGTGGCATAATGATGTCTGAAAGACGACGATCTGGATTTAGCATGAATGTCCAAAGCTCCTTACCTACCCATGAGAGCTTCCATACTTTTGACCCAAAGAAAGGAGAAGGAAGAAAAGCTAGAAAATACAATTTACTCAATTTGGAATCAGGCAGATTTAGATGGAACCAGAGAGGAAGTTACCTGTCAAGTTGGTGGATGCTAGGATCAGCGTCTCACAGGTTAGTTCCACCGAAGAAACTCGTCCACTCAGCAGGAAACACATACAGACCACCTGTAAGCAGAAACACATCAGTTCAGAGTTAACCAGAGTGGAAAACAGGTTCTAACCAGATCAGAGACCTTCGCAGACAGTTTACTAGCCAGAGCTTTAAATGGATCTAAGGTGAAATCTGTAGAGGAGTTAGTTACTCATCAAACATGGTCTAGATCAGACGTCTACAACAGGGGGTCCACAGAGGTACTGCAGGTTGCGAAAGTTTTGGTTGATTAGACAATTTTTGAAATTCCCCCCAGCAATTTTTTCCACTAATTGAAATTTCTTTAAATCCACATTAACATGAATTCAACACACTGTAGTAAACAGATAAATGGAGGCAGAAGATGTCTTTCAGTCATCAATGCTCACATTCAGCGACACACAGGAGCTCTTTCAAGCAGGGCACCGTTTCATTCACAACACCTGTCCCATCAACCAGGAATCAGAAATACTTTAATAATCCCAGGGAGAAATTAATCTCATTACATTACTCCATCTGTAATAGAGTGACTATAGTAGGCTTGTCCCGATCCGATCCACGTATCGGATCGGGACGCCGATATTGGCAAAAAAATGCGTATCAGCAAAGCATGTAAAAGGCCGATCCAGACTGCCGATCCAGTTTTAAAAAAAAAATCCGGTCCGTATTTCCAGTTTCGCCGATTGAAACGATCCATTCCACTATTTTGCGCCAGTGTTCCCCTGTTTTGCATTTTTATTAAAACTTACAGTAATACTTGCACCTTTAACTATTTACGGTTTTACTGTTCACTGTGCAATTTCAGATTGCTATTCGTAATTTTGTCCAGTTTGTGTTTATCTCTTAATAAACAGGCAAGTTTGTTGTTACCAAGCATTGTGTTTTATTCAATCTCACCTAATTCAGCTGGCTAGATGTTATCAAGAGTACTAAAACCCTTTTTAACATGAGTCTTACAACTAAGGCTAAATACTTTAACTTAAACTTAAATACATGCTCGGATAGGCTGGTATCGGCCAGTATCAGTATCGGATCGGAAGTGCAAAAACCTGGATCGGGACATCTCTAGACTATAGGTTTGATATAACACAATTTCATGCAATATATATAATTAGGGGGTCCCCGCTTCATCTCGCCATCAGTTTGGGGGTCCTTGGATTGGAAAACGTTGAAGACCCCTGGTCAAGATGGTGCCCTAAACCATAGATTCTGAGGATCCAGACGTTCATCGGTTTTAAATTTGAGCCTGATCTGCTTCTGTCTCCTTGAACCCCAGTGGGCCTCAGCAGATGGCCGCTCACACTGAGCCTGGTTCTGCTGGAGGTTTCTTCCTGTTAAAAGGGAGTTTTTCCTCTCCACTCTCGCTACAAACATGATTGGTGCGAGGGATTGCTGAAGAGTCAATGAGTCGATGCAATCAACTGGTTTTACTTAGATAGAAAACTTTGAATCATTTTGACTGGATGATCTGCTTGAATTGTCTCTTTAAAGTGCCTTAAGATGACGTGTTGTGAATTGGCGCTATATAAATAAACTGAATTGAAATCTACAGAGAGCTTGATGCAATTTCCACTTTAGGACCACTGAAGCTAAAGGGGAGAAGAAACCAGTTAACCTGAGCCAAGAGATGAAACTAAAGCCCAGTGAGGCTGGTACCACTGAACAGGCTGCAACACACAAGTCTGACTAGATCTCCAGTCCTGCCTCTAACTTTGTAACATTGGGGGGTTAAGGTGTCTTAAGGAACAGGTGACACAAAGACAGCACAGCTGAGGGACAGCAGTCTTTAGCCTGGCCAAGTGTAACCTGAAGGTACGAGACAGATGAACCAGAATATAAACAAGGGAAGCACCAGCTCTAGGACATCTAAACACAGACCCAACCAGTAACACTTCCTGGGCTAAGCTTCCACGAACTTTGGAGATGGCTTATCTTTCCAAAACGGAGATAAAAAGAGGTTACAGGTCTGGCAAAGTTAGGGAAAGATTTCCAAGCAAAACAAATTGTTTTTTTGTGTTTCTTGAAGATTTCTTTACAATTAACATGATTACTTAAATGTTTACCTTTATGTGTTTCAAGTTATGCACATTTGAATGCTAAAACTTGACCAGACTTTTAAAATGAGTCCCCTCCTGCCTGCTAGCTAGTGCCATTATCTTCAAAACCAAACCTAGCCAAAATTATTATTTCAGCAAATAATGTCAAAGGTATTTTAGAGTATTTTTTAAAAGACCCTCTACACTTAGAAAAAAATGTGCGTGTAAGAGCGTGCACGAGCCCACTTCTCCTCGTGCGCGCCCTGTTTAAAATGTGCTGTTCTCAAAGCTCATACAAGCTCACTGTGTCCACATACAGCAGGAACTATAGATGAATTTATAGCAAACTCAGTTAACTAAACGTTCGGACAGATGATCACTGCTTTTTGCACCACGTGGTGCCTGAGCCATCTTTATTAGTCGCCGCTGTCAGGTAGCGACACCGGGCCGCTGTTACAACAAATGCCAGAATAAACATATCGACACTCTGCAAAAACACTGCAAAAACCATCCAGAAATAAGTCAAAATGTCTTAAATTAAATGTATTTACCCTTAATTTGAGTAGGTAAATAAAATGAATTGCCAATGGGATGAGGATATTTACTCTTAAAATGAGATAATTAGATAATATGCACTTGAAATAATACAATGAATTAGTTTTTTCTTATTATAAAAGTGAATTGTCTTATTCCATTGGCATAGTGTCTCAGTTACCCCCTAAATTCAAGAAAAAATGCACTTATGTAGATTTTGATTTTTTCCAGTGATTAACAGTTAGGAGGACCACTTATTTTCTTGAAAAAACAGTTGCCTCCCAACTCCATTCTCACCTATGTGCCAACAGCCTGTATGAAGAATTTCAGTCTGGTTTCCGGCCACTCCATAGCACTGAAACAGCACTCATCAAAATCACCAATGACCTCCTCATGGCATCTGATTCTGGACTACTCACCATCCTCATCCTCCTCGACCTGAGTGCAGCCTTCGACACCATCTGTCACACCACCCTCCTCAGTAGGCTTTCTTCCATTGGCATCACGAGCACTCCGTTGGACTGGTTTATTTCTTATTTTTCTGATCGCACTCAGTTCATTCAACTGAAGACCCTCAAATCCACCCCCTCCCCCGTCACCTCAGGTGTGCCCCAGGGCTCTGTTCTGGGGCCTCTGCTCTTCATCATCTACCTCCTTCCCCTTGGCAATATCTTCCGTAAATTCAACATCCACTTCCATTGCTATGCTGATGACACCCAGCTCTACCTCACCACGCAGCCATCGTCCTCTCTTCCGCCCACCTCCCTCAGAAATTGCATCTGTGAATTAAAGGCCTGGTTCACCAACAACTTCCTTCAATTAAACAGTAGTAAAACCGAGGTTCTCCTCATTGGTACCAAATCAACTCTTTCCAAAACCGACAGTTTCCAAGTCACTATTGATAGCTCCTCCATCTCCCCCTCCCCCCAGGTTAAGAGTCTGGGTGTCATCCTCGATAGCACACTATCTTTCCAATCCCATATAAATAACATTACCCGGTCTGCCTACTTCCACTTAAGAAACATCAACCGCCTCCGTCCCTCCCTTACCCCACACACTACTGCCATACTTGTGCACAGCCTTGTCACCTCCCGACTAGATTACTGCAACTCCCTCCTCTTTGGACTTCCTCAGAAATCACTCCACAAACTACAACTGGTCCAGAACTCAGCTGCTCGCATCATAACAAGAACTCCCTCTATCCACCACATCACTCCGGTCCTCCGACAGCTCCACTGGCTCCCCATACAGTTCCGCATTCAATATAAAGTTATCATGATGACTTTCAAGGCACTTCACCATCTTGCCCCCCCATATCTGTCAGACCTCCTGCATGTTCCCACCCCCTCCCGTGCTCTTAGATCCTCATCTGCTTTGCACCTGTCTGTCCCCTCCGCCCGTCTCACCACCATGGGGAGCAGAGCATTCAGCCGCTCTGCCCCCCGCCTCTGGAACTCTCTACCACCCCAACTTCGAAATACGGACTCAATTCTCCATTTTAAAATACAACTCAAAACCCATCTGTTCAAGATTGCTTATTCTCTTTAAAAATATCAATTTCACTGTCACAGCCTCTGTATTTTTAAATGTTTTTAAATGTTTTTATAATTATAATTTTTATTTTTTCTGACACTTTTTATGTTTTGTACGGTGACCTTGAGTGTCCAGAAAGGCGCCTTTTTAAATAAAATGTATTATTATTATTATTATTATTATTTAGATGATCCACCCGGAAATAAAAGATCGTCCTGTATACCTTTAAGTTCTCTAACTTGGATTTGCTTTGTGATTTGGCTTGAAAACATTCCTATTGCTCTTAATTAGATAAAAGCTTGTTTGACCTCAATCCAACCTATTCAAGATAAACTCTGCTTCTCTGATATAATTGCATCATTTTATGGATTATGGTTTTCAGCTGTTTTAATTTCTTTTCCAAGTGTCCACAGTAACTTACTTTATCTGAATTTCACAAACTTAGTCAAGAGTTTTAACTAAAACATGTTTTAGTTAAACATCCTGGACTGAGGATCCGTCCAGGGAGCACGCCGCCTCTCACCTATAACCTGCTGGAGATAAGCACCAGCCCCACCACGACCATGAAGGAATAAGCAGCAGAAGACGGAGGAATGATGTTTGACTTGGAGTTTAAATACTTTTTTAAACAAATTCTTATATTTTGAACTTGAGGTGTTCTGAATTTTTTCCATATGTGTGTAGTTATTTGTTTGACCATGATTTCAACTCGATTCACATTTATTGTGCAAACACACAAACGGTGTGATCACAGAACAAAATATGAGAGTGCGAAAGTCAATTGATTTAAGCAACAATAACATTAATCTGCGTAACACTCTGCTGCACAAAGCTCAAGCTCTAAACCAAACGTTAGTATTCAGTAAGACACCATCCATGGAGCCTGGAAACTGCATGCTGGGAATAGTCCATGTTATTTATGCTTTGAATCG